GATGGACAGCTGTAAGTGGAGTGGCCCTTATACCGAGCAATGCATGTTCGATTGATTGGGCCAGCACACACGCACCTGGCTATGATCGATCCTACATTTATACTGTACTGCAGTCTGTGTACTATCGAAATCTGCAGAAAAGGGGCAATAACCGCGCAGGCTCCAATTTATTACATGTCCTTATCCGCACAGAATAAATGAACGTTGAATTAAGATCGACATCACAGCACTCTCCCATAAGCGCCCCGCCCCATCTTTAGCAGCAAGCGAACACTTCCAGTTTCGATGGCACCGGTAAGTATATCCGTCTTGCCTTTCCCTTGAGTGTTAAGTGTCGGCCGGGTCCCCTGGTAACCCGTCGCAGCGCCATTCTCCTCAGACCGTACAGCCCTGTAGGTGATACCAGACAGGTTTAGATATTATGTGTGCCGCAACTTTAACTTCTTTGAAAGCTCATCTGGGTATCTGTAATTCGGCTCCATGGTCTGCCATATACAAAGAGATTTCATAATCGCACGGTGTCAATCTACAGGTGCCAGCCGGGAGGAGAGACAATGGAACGGAATGCAGGCTTCGCAGATTCATCATTATCAAGTGCCTTACTGACTGGCGTGGGCGATCATGCCTCTCCACAATCTGCAACTGCGTTTATCAGTTCTTGTGTTGACACCCCTCCATGCCATAAAAAAAAAAAAAAAAAAAGACTGTCAAGAATCTTCTCGCACTGTCTCCTCTGTCCATCTTTCCACAAATATTTCCAGTGGTTACAAGATGTTTCATTTTCCCCTCTTCTTATACCATGACCAAAAACTGACTGTCTCTTTCTGATGTTTGTGATTAGTTGTCTTCGAGCACCTGCCTCAAAACATCTGGGTTCCTCTTTCGCAGATTAGTAATGGATAAACGTCCTTGCAGAGCTCGCTAATAAAATATGGAGAGATTTCACAGTGGACCTCTTGATAACAAGCGCACCCCCAAAGAGAAAATATTCTCTACTTGCGAAAAAAGCAAGCCTTGTTTAATTGTGCAATAATAAATAATTTATTTTTATTGTGCAACTACCAAGGCTTAAGCCCATCATTTTTAATAGAAGTGTAAAAAAAAGGGAAGGGAAGGGGGCGGAGGGAGGGGGAAGGGGCGGAGGGAGGGGGAGGAACTGGCGATTAGGGAGGGGGAAGGGGCGAAGGGTCGGAGGGTCCTGGTGGAGCTGGACTTTAAAATATAAAAAAAAATGACGCTCACTTTTCAGGGATCCGTAAAAGGAGGTCGTTGACCCACATCGTCATATTAAGGGCATCACATTCGTCCTGTGGAATCAGTCTTACCAAGCTGGTCAACTAATAATCAGGTCAAAATGAAAATAAAAAAAATTTAGCGCATTACTTGAGGACAGCTAGCCATAGCCTTGAGTGGGTCCCAGGTGCAAATATTTCTTTAAGTAAAGGAGGTCAGGGCGTACTTGAGGACAGGTTGCCATACCACTTTAATATAAGCAAAGGTGTCATACTTGAGGACAGGGCCATACCACAGCAAATATTTAGCGCATTACTTGAGGACAGGCAAATATTAGCCATACCACTTTAATATAAGCAAATATTCAGGGCATTACTTGAGGACAGGCAAATATTAGCCATACCACTTTAATATAAGCAAATATTCAGCGCATTACTTGAGGACAGGCAAATATTAGCCATACCACTTTAATATAAGCAAATATTCAGCGCATTACTTGAGGACACGCAAATATTAGCCATACCACTTTAAAAAAAATATTCAGCGCATTACTTGAGGACAGGCAAATATTAGCCATACCACTTTAAAAAAGCAAATATTCAGCGCATTACTTGAGGACAGGCAAATATTAGCCATACCACTTTCATATAAGCAAATATTCAGGGCATTACTTGAGGATAGGCAAATATTAGCCATACCACTTTAATTTAAGCAAATATTCAGCATTTTACAGTGTAAAACAGCACATTTAGGGAATGACTCGAATATGAATAAATTATGGGCAATCTGCTTCCTACCCGTGTGAGTCCCGGAGCCCCATGCTGGTGGTGGGTTTGGAGTCAGTTATGCTGGACCAAGTCTCAGGTCTCATGTATCACAGCCTAGCAGTAAACCACAACACAACATGCTAACCACCTTTTCACAGGCAGACAAGAACATATTTAGAACCATAGTCAAGACAGGTCGTCTCTGTGGCTAAGTCGATGCGATGCAAATGCTTCGTAATGCCGGGATCGATCCTTGCAGCGGGCCATGCGCCTTGCGTTGGTTTCAACCGTGGTATCAAGAAAGCTGACCGCCCAGAAAGCAATGGCAAACTACTGGATGTACATTTGCCTAGAAAAACCACACAATAGCTAGGGGCTGTTGGGGTTGGTTCTGCAACGTCCTGTAAAGGATATGCAACTAACCTTATAGTCAAGACATCATTTTAATACAATTTTCGAAGCACTACATTATTACAACCATATCAAGCACACCATTAACAAATGACTAGATTCAGGGCATGACAGCCTCTAGGGCAAATTTCTCCTCTGACCAATTCCAGGTATCATTCTAATATGGCTGCCTAATTTAGGGGGGGGGGGGGGGGATGGGGGCGCATGGACCTGATGATTTGATGCCTCATGCACCCAACACAAACTGGGCAGGCTAGGACTGTTATGTTATACTCCCCCCTTCCCCCCCCCCCCCCCCCACCCAGCAAAACACAGAATGAGAGGCCCAGTACTCTGATCACTCGGCCACCGCTCCTCTGACTTTAATTTGACCACATGCAGTCATTACATATCTGGACCATCAGGTTTATGTTAACATGTATTCAAGATGGGAGCCACTGTGGTGTAGTGGCTGCAAGTTCGCCTACAGATCAGGAGGTCGCAGGTTTAAATCCATTTGAAGCCGGATTATTTTTTTTTCCAAACATGCCCTTGGGTCGCAGGTCGACGCAACCTTAAATGGGTAGCAGGTACATTCCTGGGAAGTAAAGGCGGCCAGCATGATGTTGACCACATCACCCAGTGAGGGCAGATTGGTCTATCAAAATATGTCTAGCCCCATTTGCCCGATTCATGCCTGGCATGTAAAGGGATCTTTACTCAATTTATTCAAGATACCGAAAGAAAACTGAACATGAGCTGATTATTTGAATCAAACTGGGTACACGCCACTGACCCGAGGTTTACAGGCCAACTTCTTCTTCTCCACGTTATTCAGCTGTACACTCTGGTGGAAAGTTCTGGTTGTTCGTCCACTTCTGAACTGCAATCCTGTTCCAGAGCTTGAGTGTTGCGTCTGCATCAGTTTTACAGAACTGATTCACTTGAATGGTTGCTTGCCTCCCAGGTAGATGCACTCAGACTTTGAAGAAAGCACCCAGTTAGTCGACTCCTACAACAAGCTTGTTGGGGAGGCAGTGGGTCTATTGTTTTCCTAACAATGGGGCCCCGGAACCCACACAGGAAATATTGAAACATCCTTTCGCTTCACTGAGTGCTCATCACTGGAATTTGTTTCATGACTGATCAGCAGCAGCACAGATTATTTGACGACGTGTCTTACATCCATCACTAGCACTCTGTCAACTCCAGAGTGTTTCAGTCTCCTCATAGATTGTGAATAAATGCGGTTATTCATGTTCGTGGATAGACTCGATTATCCGTGAATGTTAAACGCTGAATTAAGAGTTAACATCATAGCACTCGGGACACTCCCGTAAGTGCTCCGTCCCAGTCTTCAGCAGCAAGTGAAGAGTTTCAATTCTGATGGTGCCAGTAACTGTCTGATTGTACAACCATCTCACCTTTCCTTTAGGCGTCAGCCAGAACCCCTGGTAACTCTCCCAACCCTATTCTCCCCAGACTGTACTGATGTACTTGAGCCTATGCACAGTTCATTTGCTTGCAAAGAGCCCTCACAATATCTAGCTTGACAAACATAAATTAATCACCAAATGATGCAGAACCAGTGTGTCTGCCTGCTCATTTCCCAAAATACCAGCATGACCTGAAGAAAATATTCAAACTACCCAGGACCTCTGAAGTGGTGCTTGCCACTCTTTATGAAGCAGGGCTGTCTCCAACTTTCTCAGCGTGTTCTGTGAATAGGTTACAATTGTGACATGTGTGTACAGCTGATTCTCAATCCAGCAGTGACTGCCTCTGCCTCCATTCTCAATCTAGACGCAATACCATATGCAAGGCTTTGTTGCTTTAAGCGACATCTATTTGCTTTTGCTATGAACCCCCATGCACTTCATCTAACTCTCAACACAGAGCCATCTGTATAGATAATCACATCACCTTGGCGAGAATTGTCATGAATCATTTGTTGAACTTCTGATTCTGCAGCACTAGCTGGCCAGTCCCTGCACTCACAACCTAAAGTGATTAGAACCCTACACAAGTCTGATCCCACAGCACCAGCTGGCCAGTCCCTGCACCCACAACCTAAAGTGATTAGAACCCTACACAAGTCTGATCCTGCAGCACTAGCTGGCCAGTCCCTGCACTCACAACCTAAAGTGATTAAAACCCTACACAAGTTTGATTCTTGCTGATTATCCGGGTTTGTGGATAACCCTCTTTTTTTATTTACTTGGCTGCATGTCTTGATGAAAGTACTTTTCTACTTCCTCTGCAGCAGCTACCATAGCAACATCATCCCAGTCAAAATCCTCCACTTCCCTCCATGGGGCCGCTGCCAGGTCTTGGATCTGTGTCAGCTGAGACAATTCTTCAGCGGCAGCAAGCAGAAGATCATCATCATCATCATCCCCAAAACTGCAGGTGACGACCTGATCTTTTCTGAGTTCATCTTGATCACTTAGACTGTTTTTGTGAGCATCATCTTGTCTGCACCTCTCTCCTTCATGGTGCTTGCCTAAGTTGTTCTTGTTACTGTCACTGCCATGTTGTCGTCTCTTCTCTACTTTGTGGTGTTTGCCCAGTCTGTTCTTCTCACTGTCCTCTTTTCTCCACTTCTTTCCTTCATGGTTCTCGTCCCAAGCTGTTCTTGTTAATGTCACTATTATCTTTGGTATCATAATTCGAGCCGCCGCCCATATAATCTTCCCATTCATCATCATCACCTTCCCAGACAGCCTCAAAGTAGGAAGAAGGCAGCAGGTTGGAAGGGATTTCCACAGCTGCAAAGATTCAAAAGAACAATTTCAAGATTAGCAGCGAAAACAAAAGTAAACCAATAAACTTATAAAAATATAAACTTTATATTTACTGAATAATTTTTGGAATACATTTTTTTGGGGGAATAAATTTTTATATTCAGACTTAGGACTGGGTACAACAGACTTCATCAACGAATGTTCAAATTTGTCAGTGTAGGAAACTATGAGACATGTCACTGCAGCGTACCACCCGAAAATGCTGAGCATGTGCTTCAACAATGTCAACTGTATGCCGACAACACAGACGCAGTTTGGCCTGTTTCAACTACAATGAAGACAAAGCTGTATGGTATACAAGAGAATATGGACTGCACAATAGCTTTCATAAAGGCTACCGGCCTCCTGATATAAGTTTTCTGACAGAAGGATCGAAGAAGAAGAAGAAGAAGAAGAAAGAAGAAGAAGAAGAAAGGATATTTATATTAAGTCAGAAATCTGCAAACAAATCAATAGACAGCAAACAATGCAATATTCCAAAAGAAAACAGTGGTACAAGTGGTACACTGCAGCTGACCTTCATTGCAAAGAGGGCACAGAATTATTGTTCCTAAATTGCAACAATGAAATGTGAGTCCTGGTTGGCAACGAATTTCATTTAACATGAACAGTTTGCTTGTTCTTTTAACTTTGTGTTAAGGGAGAGGTCTACCAGTGTAGAAGTGTGTTTGTTTATAAATGTGTATAGGTGGGTAATATGTGTGTTGTGAATTTATATGTTGTGTATAGTTGTGTTATAAATGTGTTGTATTATAGACAAGTGTGTAAGTATCTGGGCAGGTGGTTGTGAATATATATGTAAGTGTATTGGTGCATTTTATTATCTTGTGTATCCTTGTTGTTGAATAGATTCTTGTGTTGTGTAACATAGGTGTGAATCCTTATGTAGCAGGCCAAACAATTTTTAGTGAATACAGAAGAATGTGTATACCTTAGACAGCCAAAAAGAGCAACCAAGAGGTATGCGGGAGACCGAAGAATAGATGTGCATAGGTGTGTTATGTATGTGTTATGAATAGAAATGTGTATGTTGTGTTATGGAAAGATCTGTATGTGATTGAGGAAGACAAATAGATGTGCTTGACAGTCTTGTGTGGCATGGAGGTGTGTCGTGTTGTGATACATAGATGCGGATTATAGGCATGTGTTATGTATCGGCAAGGCACCTGATGATGATGATGATGTGTATAGTGTTGTGGTATATGTATGTGTTGTGAATAGATGTGTTGTGTATAGGTGTGTTACAGGTGTTGTGAATATATATGTTGTGTATAGTTGTGTTATAGATGTGTTGTGTATAGGTGTGTTACATGTGTTGTGAATATATATGTTGTGTATAGGTGTGTTATGTATGTGTTGTGAATAGATGTGTTGTGTATAGGTATGTTATGTATGTGTTGTGAATAGATGTGTATAGGTGTGTTATGTATGTGTTGTGAATAGATGTGTATAGGTGTGGTTATGTATGTGTTGTGAATAGATGTGTATAGGTGGGTTATGTATGTGTTGTAAATAGAAGTGCTGTATATAGATAAAGTAAAAAGGACAATTTTCCAAGCCAGTAAGTGTTTTGGGCATATAGGGCTAGACCTATATTTTATAGACTAATCAGCACTTGGTGGGTGATGTGGTCAACATGACGCCGACCGCCTTTACTTCCCAGAACTTTAGCTTGTACCCATTTCAGGTTGGGTCGACCTGGCAGCCAAAGTCATTTAAAAAAAAACACACAAAAAGTTTGGCTCCGTTCGGAATCAAACACAACCTTTGGATCTGCAGGTGACTCTCTAGCCGCTACGCCATGGTGGCTCCCTGCTGTGTATAAGTGTGTAGTGTATAAGTGTGTAGTGTATAAGTGTGTAGTGTATAAGTGTGTAGTGTATAAGTGTGTAGTGTGTAAGTGTGTAGTGTATAAGTGTGTAGTGTATAAGTGTGTAGTGTATAAGTGTGTAGTGTATAAGTGTGTAGTGTGTAAGTGTGTAGTGTATAAGTGTGTAGTGTATAAGTGTGTAGTGTATAAGTGTGTAGTGTATAAGTGTGTAGTGTATAAGTGTGTAGTGTATAAGTGTGTAGTGTGTAAGTGTGTAGTGTATAAGTGTGTAGTGTATAAGTGTGCAGTGTATAAGTGTGCAGTGTATAAGTGTGTAGTGTATGAGTGTGTAGTGTATGAGTGTGTAGTGTATGAGTGTATAAGTGTGTAGTGTGTAGTGTGTAGTGTGTAGTGTGTAGTGTATAGTGTGTAGTGTGTAGTGTGTAGTGTGTAGTGTGTAAGTGTGTAGTGTATAGGTGTGTAGTGTATAGGTGTGTAGTGTATAAGTGTGTAGTGTATAAGTGTGTAGTGTATAAGTGTGTAGTGTGTAAGTGTGTAGTGTGTAAGTGTGTAGTGTATAAGTGTGTAGTGTATAAGTGTGTAGTGTATAAGTGTGTAGTGTATAAGTGTGTAGTGTATAAGTGTGTAGTGTATAAGTGTGTAGTGTATAGGTGTGTACTGTATAAGTGTGTAGTGTGTAAGTGTGTAGTGTGTAAGTGTGTAGTGTGTAAGTGTGTAGTGTGTAAGTGTGTAGTGTATAAGTGTGTAGTGTATAAGCGTGTAGTGTATAAGCGTGTAGTGTATAAGTGTGTAGTGTATAAGTGTGTAGTGTATAAGTATGTAGTGTGTAGTGTATAAGTGTGTAGTGTGTAAGTGTGTAGTGTATAAGTGTGTAGTGTATAAGTGTGTAGTGTGTAAGTGTGTAGTGTGTAAGTGTGTAGTGTATAAGTGTGTAGTGTATAAGCGTGTAGTGTATAGGTGTGTAGTGTATAAGTGTGTAGTGTATAAGTGTGTAGTGTGTAAGTGTGTAGTGTGTAAGTGTGTAGTGTGTAAGTGTGTAGTGTGTAAGTGTGTAGTGTATAAGTGTGTAGTGTATAAGTGTGTAGTGTATAAGTGTGTAGTGTATAAGTGTGTAGTGTCTAAGTGTGTAGTGTCTAAGTGTGTAGTGTATAAGTGTGTAGTGTCTAAGTGTGTAGTGTATAAGTGTGTAGTGTATAAGTGTGTAGTGTATAAGTGTGTAGTGTATAAGTGTGTAGTGTATAAGTGTGTAGTGTATAAGTGTGTAGTGTATAGTGATGCATATATTGTTCAGTATGTCTCTTTCTTCTAGTTGTCTATATTCTATTTTCATTAGTCTTTTTTTAGGCAATCAATGTTAGTAACAGAGTATTTAGAGCAAGCATTTTTCTCTCTCTCTCTCTCTCTCTGTGTGTGTATGTGTGCGTGTGCATGTGTGTGTGTGTGTGTGGGGCATACATACATTTTGGATTCTTGCTGGCATCCAGTAGTGAGCTGAGATTCTCACTGTAACATCTGCAGGCGACTGAGCACTTATGGGCATACCTGTGTGCACTTACAAACCAAACTAACCGGACTTACCCTCTGACCTATATCCTATAGCTTGACAGTCAGGGTCATAACATTTCTGGTAGCAGACGCCATGTCTCAGGTCAACTATATACCTGGGCAATATGGATAACACTGGTGTGGGTAATCAAAACCACGGCCCTCTCTAGGTAAGGTCAAAGGAAATTCCATTTTTGTAAAGTCTGGGAGGCCAGGCTGTGCTATTTTCATCAAGTAGATTTGTACACAAATTAAACTACAGTTTAAATAATTTGCAACACATGAATGGTATAACATTTTGCAGATAAATAATAGCACAGCCTGGCCTCCTGAACTTAAAAAAATTTGGGAATTTCCGTTGAACTGTTTGGCCTCACCTAGAGACGGCTGTGGTCAATCATGAAGAGTTGTGAAGTGAAATAACCATGTTAAAAAACAGATTTATAGTAAAATCTGCTGAGCGAACATTTATCTGTGTCCTGTCCTTCTGTATAGGTGCAAAATATTAGAAAATAACAGGACTGATACAAAAACGGAAACAGTGTCGATGTGGTCTTTATAGAAGAATATTCACTGTGTGGATATGAAAGAAAACAAATGATTACATTTTAAAAACTACCCAACCAAGTGAGCTGTCCATAAGCAAGTTAGTTCTTCATCCAAGGAATCAGCCAAACCAATAGGAAGCAACCAAACCAATAAAGCCACACAACTAAATCAGCTGCCCATCCAATGAAGCCACCCAACCAACCAAGCTACCTAACCAATGAAGCCACCCAACCAACCAAGCTACCTAACCAATGAAGTTGCCCAACCAATCAAGCTTCCTAAACAAATGCCACCAACTAAAATCAAATAAGCTCCCAACCAACTGATAAGTTCCCTTACCAAATGCTACTGGCTAAATAAATGAGCTACTAGTCAACCAAATGAGCTACCAACTAACTGAGCTATGCAAACAACCAAGCTACACATCCACTGCAGCTACCCAAATATCCAAGCAAAACACATGACAACACAAGCCACAACCTACATGATATTGTTGCTGCGGTGTTCTCTCTGGACATTGCCGCACCACCTACAACCTGAGATATCATACAGCAATGAATCACTAGACCGGAAGCACATCCAGTGACGCACTCGCCCCTGGCAACCATGTGACCGGGTCAGGGATTCTACAAAACCATCAATCTCAGGATATGGGGACGGACAGTTGTGACCCTCCAGGCAATCTGAAACAAATGGCAGAAACTTTGGAAATGTATTAATCAGTTACAGTCTACAGCATTAGTTTTCAACCTGGATGAGGTGGGGGAGCAAGAAAGTGTCAATGCGGCATCAAGCAATTTTTAGTTCATTAAATTATAAATAAAATATTTTTAAACACATTTATAAAACAAAATAAAACCAAGGATATTTTGTGTTCATGAGCAATTTGTACATCCACCTTCTCTTGTAAGTCTTTCATTTTTTTTTATTTTTTTTTTTTGGGTGTAAATTGGGGAGGGTCTTGCCATGTTTAGTAGAGGTCTTATATTTAAGGGGGCGCCACCTGGAAAAAGTTGAAAACCACTGGTCTACTGTCTGATGGAGAGGAAAATGAGTTTATGACACAATGTTTCCATCATGAAGTGGTAACAGGATATTAGTATCCTCATGTCTCCACTATATAGTGGCACGTGGCTACTGATGACGCAATGTTTCCATCATGAAGTGGTAACAGGATATTAGTATCCTCATGTCTCCACTATATAGTGGCACGTGGCTACTGATGACGCAATGTTTCCATCATGAAGTGGTAACAGGATATTAGTATCCTCATGTCTCCACTATATAGTGGCACGTGGCTACGGATGACACAATATTTCCATCATGAAGTGGTAACAGGATATTAGTATCCTCATGTCTCCACTATATAGTGGCACGTGGCTACGGATGACACAATGTTTCCATCATGAAGTGGTAACAGGATATTAGTATCCTCATGTCTCCACTATATAGTGGCAGGTGGCTACGGATGACGCAATGTTATGATCCTTGTCCATAGGAAGAAATTAATTAGCATGTCCAAAATTTAAAATATAGTTCATTTAAAACCTCAACTCTCTCTTCTTCTCTTATTGTTGTGTCTGTGAGTGTGGGGTCTGTGAGTGTGGGGTCTGTGAGTGTTGTGTCTGTGAGTGTTGGGTCTGTGAGTATTGGGTCTGCGAGTGTTGTGTCTGCGAGTGTTGTGTCTGTGAATGTTGTGTCTGTGAGTGTTGTGTCTGTGAGGGTTGTGTCTGTGAGTGCTGTGTCTGTGAGTGCTGTGTCTGTGAGTGTTGTGTCTGTGAGTGTTGTGTCTGTGTGTGTTGTCTGTGAGTGTTGTGTCTGTGAGTGTTGTGTCTGTGTGTGTTGTGTCTGTGAGTGTTGTGTCTGTGTGTGTTGTGTCTGTGAGTGTTGTGTCTGTGAGTGTTGTGTCTGTGAGTGTTGTGTCTGTGTGTATTGGGTCTGTGAGTGTTGTGTCTGTGAATGTTGTGTCTGTGAATGTTGTGTCTGTGAATGTTGTGTCTGTGAGTGTTATGTCTGTGAGTGTTGTGTCTGTGAGTGTTGTGTCTGTGAGTGTTGTGTCTGTGAGTGTTGTGTCTGTGAGTGTTGTGTCTGTGAGTATTGTGTCTGTGTGTGTTGTGTCTGTGAGTATTGTGTCTGTGAGTGTGGTGTCTGTGAGTGTGGTGTCTGTGAATGTGGTGTCTGTGAGTGTGGTGTCTGTGAGTGTGGTGTCTGTGAGTGTGGTGTCTGTGAGTGTTGTGTCTGTGAGTGTTGTGTCTGTGAGTGTTATGTCTGTGAGTGTTGTGTCTGTGAGTGTTGTGTCTGTGAGTGTTGTGTCTGTGAGTGTTGTGTCTGTGAGTGTTGTGTCTGTGAGTGTTGTGTCTGTGAGTGTGGTGTCTGTGAGTGTGGTGTCTGTGAATGTTATGTCTGTGAGTGTTGTGTCTGTGAGTGTTGTGTCTGTGAGTGTTGTGTCTGTGAGTGTTGTGTCTGTGAGTGTTATGTCTGTGAGTGTTATGTCTGTGAGTGTTGTGTCTGTGAGTGTTGTGTCTGTGAGTGTTATGTCTGTGAGTGTTATGTCTGTGAGTGTTGTGTCTGTGAGTGTTATGTCTGTGAGTGTTGTGTCTGTGAGTTGTGTCTGTGAGTGTTGTGTCTGTGAGTGTTGTGTCTGTGAATGTGGTGTCTGTGAGTGTGGTGTCTGTGAGTGTTGTGTCTGTGAGTGTTGGGTCTGTGAGTGTTATGTCTGTGAGTGTTGGGTCTGTGAGTGTTGGGTCTGTGAGTATTGTGTCTGTGAGTGTTGTGTCTGTGAGTGTTGGGTCTGTGAGTGTTGGGTCGTGTGGGTTGTGTCTGTGAATGTTGTGTCTGTGAGTGTTGTGTCTGTGAGTGTTGGGTCTGTGGGTGTTGTGTCTGTGAGTGTTATGTCTGTGAGTGTTGGGTCTGTGAGTGTTGTGTCTGTGGGTGTTATGTCTGTGAGTGTTGTGTCTGTGAGTGTTATGTCTGTGAGTGTGGTGTCTGTGAGTGTTGTGTCTGTGAGTGTTATGTCTGTGAGTGTTGTGTCTGTGAGTGTTGTGTCTGTGAGTGTTGTGTCTGTGAGTGTTGTGTCTGTGAGTGTTGTGTCTGTGAATGTTGTGTCTGTGAGTGTTGTGTCTGTGAATGTTGTGTCTGTGAGTGTGGTGTCTGTGAGTGTGGTGTCTGTGAGTGTTGAGTCTGTGAATGTTATGTCTGTGAGTGTTGTGTCTGTGAGTGTTGTGTCTGTGAGTGTTATGTCTGTGAGTGTTGTGTCTGTGAGTGTTGTGTCTGTGAGTGTTGTGTCTGTGAGTGTTGTGTCTGTGAGTGTTATGTCTGTGAGTGTTATGTCTGTGAGTGTTGTGTCTGTGAGTGTTATGTCTGTGAGTGTTGTGTCTGTGAGTGTTGTGTCTGTGAGTTGTGTGTCTGTGAGTGTTGTGTCTGTGAATGTGGTGTCTGTGAGTGTGGTGTCTGTGAGTGTTGTGTCTGTGAGTGTTGGGTCTGTGAGTGTTGTGTCTGTGAGTGTTATGTCTGTGAGTGTTGGGTCTGTGAGTGTTGGGTCTGTGAGTATTGTGTCTGTGAGTGTTGGGTCTGTGAGTGTTGGGTCTGTGTGGGTTGTGTCTGTGAATGTTGTGTCTGTGAGTGTTGTGTCTGTGAGTGTTGGGTCTGTGGGTGTTGTGTCTGTGAGTGTTATGTCTGTGAGTGTTGTGTCTGTGAGTGTTGTGTCTGTGGGTGTTATGTCTGTGAGTGTTGTGTCTGTGAGTGTTATGTCTGTGAGTGTTATGTCTGTGAGTGTTATGTCTGTGAGTGTTGTGTCTGTGAGTGTTATTTCTGTGAGTGTTATGTCTGTGAGTGTTGTGTCTGTGAGTGTTGTGTCTGTGAGTGTTGTGTCTGTGAGTGTTGTGTCTGTGAGTGTTATGTCTGTGAGTGTTATGTCTGTGAGTGTTGTGTCTGTGAGTGTTATGTCTGTGAGTGTTGTGTCTCTGAGTGTTGTGTCTGTGAGTGTTGTGTCTCTGAGTGTTGTGTCTGTGAGTGTTGTGTCTGTGAGTGTTATGTCTGTGAGTGTTATGTCTGTGAGTGTTGTGTCTCTGAGTGTTATGTCTGTGAGTGTTATGTCTGTGAGTGTTGTGTCTCTGAGTGTTGTGTCTGTGAGTGTTATGTCTGTGAGTGTTGTGTCTGTGAGTGTTGTGTCTGTGAGTGTTATGTCTGTGAGTGTTGTGTCTGTGAGTGTTATGTCTGTGAGTGTTATGTCTGTGAGTGTTGTGTCTGTGAGTGTTATGTCTGTGAGTGTTGTGTCTGTGAGTGTTGTGTCTGTGAGTGTTGTGTCTGTGAGTGTTGTGTCTGTGAGTGTTGTGTCTGTGAATGTTGTGCGTTTGTGAGTTTTATGTGCTGTGTCTTTTCCAGCATGCTGGTCTTCCACCTTGTCAGAGACGCCTGTGTGGTTTTGACTTTGCTTCTTTTCCACGATAATGTTATTTTTTATTCCAGATTGTAAGTTATGAGAACTAATACCAGTAGTTCCATTATTCAAATCCATAGAGCTAAAATCGTTCATTCTTATCTCTATAGAGGGAGATTTTGAATTATCATTAGATCTAATTTTAACAGCACCAGAACTAGTATCATTAGTTTTTAACCGTATAGCAACAAAATTAACACCATGATTAGTGTCACTGCCATTAGATCTAGCTGTCTCAACATTACGATTCTGAGAAATAAATTCATCGCATATTTGTGCTGCGGCCATGAACTCTTCATCACTCATTTCACTAAAGTCACAGTTGTTTACAAAGCTAGGCTGGGACTTGATGCAGTTTGAGAATCCTTGGTGTATCTGACAAAGACTTTGCCTGCAACAATGTTCACAGAGCACAGCTGGTGAAATGCACTGTTCATTTGATTTCAGCTTGATGTATTTCACTAGCAGGCCAAATATATGGCGAACAAAGTTTCCTGCAAATGAAAAAACGACAAAAATTCATAAAAAAATTAAATCTAATTTCTTACTTCTTCACTGCTTTGTTTGTTATCGTTCCTCTTTCTTCTACTTCATCAATTCTTTTTTTTGGGGGGTGGGGGGGGGGGGGGTCCTTTTCACTTTCCTCCCTCCTCATCTTTTACATCAGTTTATACCATTTGGATCTCTTCATTTCCGCCTTCTGTTTCACATCATCTTTGACTATCTCTCCCATTATCATCTTTCATCAATGTTTTTATTTCATTTTCAACACCTCTTCCAATTTAAAAAAAAATCATTTTGCACAATATTTCTTTCTTCTCCTTCTTCACACTGATCTTTTCCCTCATCACCAACAATTTCCTTCTTTATCACACTTCATAACTGTTTTCTCTTTCTACTGCCTTATCTTTCTCTACTGTACTTTTTCATCTTAATTTTTTTTCTTTCTCATCAACATCGCCCACTTTATTCTTCATCCTCTGTTTTTGTTAGGGTTTTTTTTACCCACTTTCTCAAAATCTTTTTTTTTACCTGTTGCCTAAACTTTTGTAAGAATAAATGTTTCATTAATGTTAACGCGACTAATGAATCAAAAATATGACATTAAACATTGTCAGCCGTTCAAAAAAATTATCATCTGAAGATGTTGTTTCATATTTTTCTCATCCCAAATGTTTCTCTCCCTAATCTCCTTCCTCATACAGGACATAGACAGACCCTAATACAACATTTATCAGAAATATGTAAACTAAATATTTCTAAACGAAAAAAAAATGTGATTACCTGCTGCAACACAGTTGGCAAACACAGCTCCAGGAATGTGGAAGATGAGGTGTCTGCTGAACTTACTCTCTGTGCTGAAATAAGACAAGACGAGATATTTGTTAGAGTGCTATATAGAACTCATGATGTTATATGCATGTAAGACACTGGCCATAACTAGATAAAGATGAGATATTTGTTAGAGTGCTAAATAGAACCCATGATGTTATATGCATGTGAGACACTGGCCAAAACTAGACGAGATGAAAAACATTTACTCACAGCTGGGATGCGGTTTCTAAGAAGAACATGGATTGATTAAAAAACAAACAAGACAGTATTTCTGGAGACGGACGAAAGTCATAAAGTGATTAGAACAACTGGACGTAGGCAACCTGTATGTTTCAGATACGTCATGAGAAGGAATGCAATCAAAAACGTGGTAATAAATAGTAATGTTGGTAGAAAGAGAGCAAAAGGAAGGCACGAAAATAAACATCTGGATGGCTTGGATAGGGTAAGAAAAGCACTCTGACCTAATCCATGATTCTCGTGTAAGACAGCACTTACCGACAAGACACATCGTTATGTTAATGAGGTATTTGTTGAAACTGCTGTTTGAACTGAATGTAGACAATCTGTGAACCAAGCTACAAACAGTAAGCAGTAACCATATGGCGGATACTAACCTACGTGTATGGAGTGGCATTGAGTCACATATTCTAGTTCTGTAGTAAAATCAGCGTCAGTGTCTGTGGCTTAAGCACCTTTCTTCCCTATTCTCTGTAAATTCTAGAAAATATCTGGAACCTATTTAATAAGGATGGGCTAACCCCACAGTAATCAGTAGTTAGAATAACCATTCCGAACCTTCCAGGGATTGAACCCATGTCACCCTCCTGAGGTATGGAAAGCAAGTGTACTTACAACTATGACCACTAAATTTTGCTTTTGGAAGTAACCACTTTAATGCTGATTATTATGACTGTTAAAGACAGAGGCATTTGCCAACAATATGGCATGTAAATTTGTATCATACCTGGCATCCAAGTCTAGTACACAGGATCTGTCGCAATCTATGTTGAACACAGCCTCCAGCCACATACAAACATACTAGAAGCAAATAAAAAAATATTAACCTCAGGAAACTTAATGTACTTTACACAAAGTTCTCTCTCATTAATAAGCACATATTTAAAAACAACAAAGCAAATACTGAGGCAATAATACAGCATACAAATAACCACACAGCAAATATCAATAAAGTCTAATGAGCATCTAAAGTTCCACATTCCACCAAATCAGCAGATAATCTAATCTAGGTACGAGCTGCAATAGTTTTAATCTATCTGGCCAGACTACCATTACCTGAATCAATACACCAACCATTCTCTCGCCATCAGAGCCAGTGTTCAATTTTTTAAGAAACTCCAGGTCAAAATACAGCCTGCATGGCCAACCTGGCGGAATAAAATATTACACCTCTTTAGTAAACTCAAATTATTTCAATGGGGTATGTGATCTTTTCTAAAGTAGTGTTTCAATAGCTGGAGGTTGTATGTATGGCGGTAAGTGATCTTTACTGAAGTAGTATTTTAACAGCTTGTGGTTGTATGTATGGGGGTATGTAATCTTTACTGAAGTAGTGTTTTAATACCTTGGGATTGTATGTATGGGGGGTATGTAATCTTTACTGAAGTAGTGTTTCAATACCTCGAGGTTTTATGTATGGGGTATGTGATATTTACTGAAGTAGTGTTTTAATACCTCGAGGCTGTATGTATGGGGTATGTAATCTTTGCTGAAGTAGTGTTTTAATACCTCGAGGTTGTATGTATGGGGTATGTAATCTTTACTGAAGTAGTGTTTCAATAGCTTGTGGCTGTATGTATGGAGGTTATCATCATCATGTGCCCTGCCAACTGGCGTAGGCGTCATGCATCTCCACAGATCACGATCCTTGGTTGCTTGGAACAGCTGTCTTCATGATTTCCCTCCATGCCATCGTTTCAGGCCATCCAGCATCATCTCTCTCGATTTGCCTCTACTCCTCTTTCCACTGATCTTTCCAGTTGTCATGATGTTTTCCAATGCCTCTCTTCTCATTATTTGGCCAAACAACAGAGTTTGTCTCCTTCTTATTGTTGTATATAAAGAGACCTACTTTCATTAGCTTCTTTCAAATAACCGTTGTTAGTTAATCTGGCCCTCCAAGGTACAGAGATGTAATAATCATTTTTATTTTTTTTAATTTATTAGTAACCTGTGTAATATGGTTGGCTTTTAAAAAAAAAATATATATACATATATGATTTAATTCCAGAAATTCCTTTGGGGTCGTCATGACCCATTAGTTTTTAGCATTCACTGGAGGCAATGGTTAATAGATTACAACAGAAACTGTATGGAAATGAGGTAAAGACAGTAGTAACCATTTTGTTTCAGAAAACAGCTTTGTGTTTGTCAACAGTTTGTTTCCAGATTTTCCTAAAATCTGAAATTCAGGTTTTCCTGTTATCGTTAACAGATCTTTTTTAATGCTTAGATGAAATAAAGAGGGTACGAGACACAGCAAGACACACAAACCAAGCCATAGACAGACAAATATTACCTTCAGGGATGATTTCATAGTGGTGTCTTTGACTGGGCTCCATCTGACTGTTGGAGAAACAGATATATCCTCAGATAAATGACACATAAATGGCATTCCACCATATAATTACCTGTCATAGATTAAACAAGACACACAGCATAAACTATCTATCAATGCCTCAATGACACCTAAATAGGCTGGTGGTAAATCAACTACATGGTATACAAGATAAGAAGACTTCAGATAAGCTAACAACATACTGGAAGTCTTCAGACAAACCATACATGACCAAATCTGAATGTGTGTATATTTATGGGAGAGGGAGAAAGAGGGAAGTAGAGACAGAGATACAGACAAAGAGAGTGTAATAAACCTTGGCTTCACTTGGACTGCGCTTTGGCTTACTACTTATTGGCTTTCGCCACGGCTCGCTCTCTGGATGTTTACTGCTATAAAACCTGCACTGCTTTAACGTCTAGGGTTGACAACACAAACGCTGCTCAGCTTCTTGGTACATTCTGTCAGTTTATTCTCGTCCATTTACTTCACATGTTCAACACATTATTCACATTTATCACTCGCGACATATTCGAACGCTAACATTTGCGCAATATAAAAACTACATCTTCAATTACTACAACCGTCTACTCTGACTTCTCATGATCGACTGACCACGAGGCTAGCTCGGGCTTCGCCTCGCTTCCTCCACCGGCCACAAGTATCTCGTGCCGTCACTTGTAGCACGGACTTTCTGCTTGCCGCAATGTAATCGTGAAGACCATGCACAGCACCTCATCACATACTCCCCCCCTTCTTAACAAAATGATACTTTATGGAACATCAAGTATCCTTTTCCCTTTTACTGATAGATGAATCAATGGAACATAAATCTAACTACACTACTAGGGATTACCATTCCTAATTACCCTCAGTTACCGCCCTTGGTTTTAAATTTTTACTGTATGCTTTTTGAAGTACTGATCTGGTGAAGGGTGTCTCATTTTTGCACCTCTTCATCTATAGTATAACTTTATCACTATACCTATTCTATAGGGTTGAAGTAAAATAATCATTGTGATGATGGTGATGATAATGGTCAGATTTGAGATATTTACTACAGGTATAATAAATCAATTTAAATGTATTACTGCTAGGAATTGTGGTTCCTGACTATCCTTAATTACTGCCCTTTAAAACTGCTTTCAGTATTTACTGCATGCTTTCCCTGTACTGAGCTGGTGAAGAGTTTATACCATCTTTACACCTATTGCATCTGTAGTATTGTTTAGTCACTATATCTAATCTATCGGGTTTAAAGTGAAATGATGATAGAGATGATGATGGTCAGCTTTGAGATATTTACTACATAGAAAATTGGATTTAACCAATACTTCTACATCACCTTTTACAGGGTGTTAAACCCCAAGGACTCTTAACCGATATGATAGTGGTGAGATGATTGTCAGCTTTGAGATATTTACTACATAGAAAATTGGATTTACCCAATATTTCTACATCACCTTTTACAGGGTGTTAAACCCCAAGGACTCTTAGCCGATATGATAGTGGTGAGATGTATTTATCATAGTGCTTCTAGTTTCCCAAAAGCCCCTATAACACCTTTTACAGGGTACGATTACCGGGAATCGACCTTGACACAGAACGCCACTTACATTGACTGTTCAGCTCTGTTATTAGCTGTCAAGTTCAATTGGTCCAACCAGCTGTGTTCTCGGTGATGTTCCGGTTATCTTAGTTACCCAACCCCAAGGAATCTACCATATAAAAAAAAATGCATGTTGAGATATATTTTCATAGACCAAAGTCTCACCTTTCACAGAGTAATTACCCAACTCCAAGGAATCCAACATGAAAACAATGATAGTTGAGATATATTTTTCATAGATCTTAGAGTTTCCTCCAAGTCTATAACCACCTTTAACAGGGTAGTTAACCCCAAGGAATCTCATATGAAATGATGTCTATTGGGATAATTTTTAATAGAGTTTAGGGTTTCCCCACCAGTCTCTACATCACCTTTAACAGAGTATTCAACTCCAAGGAATCCCACACACCTTTCCCCCTTTAGATGGATACAGATGAGTTCAACTCCTCTATTGTGCTTGTGCTTTGATGTGTGCACTCTTTCTTTACCATCAGTATGTCTATTTAGCATCAGTATAACTATAGCTTGTTCTTAATCTTGGGTGTGGTTGACAACTTTAGCATGTCCCTGTGCTGTGTACCTATGCCAAAACATTTCAAATTAAATATTTTTATCAAAGTCATTCTGTGGAAAAAGATTTCTATATGATCTATCGCTAAATCTTGATCTAATTCTTCTGTGCTGTTCCTGGGGAGAGATTTTTTTTTTTATTTTTTTTTTTTTTTTTTTTACTTTTGAACTACTGCCATTACATGAATACTAAACTATTCCTAATGAACTACTTAGGTGATATAAATGTACACTATTAGTTTGCTACCCACAAATCTTTCATTCATCATTCATACCTGTTTTATTCTCTTTCATTCCCATTCATTCCATTAACTATTCTTGATCTTGATCCATCCCTGCAGGCTGTGTGTTTCTTGCTTGTACTCTGGCGCTTGCTTTTAAGGTTCTCATTCCTTGGTTTGCTCGACAGTCTGCTCTGCTCTGGGGTCTCTCTTAGTATGCTTGAACTGATAATCTTAGAGATATACTGACTAAAAATATAATTTAATTTTAAGAGTTAACACAATGCTATTATCAGTGTTCAGTGACTGTATACTCTGATATGCCACCTTTAAAATAATAATAATGGAATTAAACGGAAGGTGTTCAATACACACAGTATGTGGCTGTTTTTTATAAATGAAATCAGGTGTTTATGCACTTTTTTAAAATACTTCATCATTAATTTGATATTTATTTACACAAAACTTTAGGTATGTAACATAATCTAACTTTCACAGTAGCTATCACAATTGTGTAAACACGATGTAATATTGACGTTTTTGTTGTTTTTGATTGAGCTTAAACAGTCGGAATGCTTCATTATTCTCGCATTCTTTATTTTATGATACGTTTGGTATTCGACGATCTTGATATTGTATAGATGGTCTTGAAGTGTCGCTAAATATTTGATGATTTTGAGATGTTTCAATGGTCGATTTTGAGGTGTCTGGAGAAAATAATTTTGTGTTCCTTGATGGTGATTTGAAATTTGAATAATTCGGTGGCTGATATGTTTCTGTTCATTCACTGTACAGTACTGGTTGGTGATTTCTGATTTTGATTGAAATTTGATAATCTTGAAGATGAAGAATGCTAAACTGTCAATTTTTGATGATTGTTCAGGTTCACTCTTGATCGTTTGGTTGAAGGTGGTACTATGTAGCTTCTTGACTGATAATAATCTTGAATTTTATGCATGGTGATATGTTAGATTGATGTTGATGTTCAGGATGATGGACTGTATGGTTTCAAGTTAGTAAATAGTGATACTTCAGTTGATGGTGATTTTCCTTATTTCAGCTGTTCTTATGTTTGTTGATGGATTTGTATGTATTTGGATACCACTTTCTTTTAATAATATGGATGTTGACGGAAATGCATTTGTTCCCAGAATTTTATATCTTCTTCAGAACAGTTATTGATACCTGTTAGATCTCCTAGAATCAAATCTGTCGAAATGTCTTTCATTACTAAGACTTTTATTGGCTTTGACATCCATGGTGATTTTAAATATATATATGCTGTTGGTAGCTGTACTCGTCCTTCATCATTGTAATAATATATAAGTTCTCTCCACTATAATCTGATGGTTTCAGCATTTTATCCGATACTATATTGTAATATGTATCTGTATGTACTTGCATTTGAGCTGGTTTGTTGTTAATAAAACATTTAGTTGTTTTTAACAGATATTTCGGGTTTAGTGCTCTTCTTATACTATCATAAGGTATGTCGCTATTATTATAAACATACCTGAACTCTTTATCTACAGTTTGTCTGTCTATTGTTTCACAGTCATCCTGTTTCATACATTGAGTTGCTTTTGTCTCGAATGATGTCATTGTTGGAACAGTGATATCCTTTGCTTGATTAATTTTCATTGTTTCTGAGTTTGACTTTTTCTCTGTTTCAGTGGCTGCTGTCTTTTTCGTTTCAACTTTCTTGCTTGTATTACTACTCTTGCTGGATTCTAGCTCTGCAATCACAATTTCGTTCTTTATTTTTTTAGTTCCTGGACATTTCAATTGGCTTTTTCCTATCCAAATTGTATGTGGCTCTGTTGTTTTTCCTTGATTCTTTCTACCGTAGCACAGTGAACAATCTAGAGTTGGAATATCTTCCGAATCCATTCTTTCTGAATTAGTTTTTGCAAAGAAGGATCTTTTTTTGTCTTTTAACATCTGTTTCCCAACACAGTGTTTTACAATATGTCCGAATGCTTTACAGAAGTGGCACTTTTTAAGGTTATTCTTTTGTTTATTTTGCCACTTTTTATTTACCAAGTCTTCAATATAACTTGAATATTTAGGATCTCTGTCGCAGATAGTTGAAGAACTGTGCTGGTACTTACAAAAATTACACATCTTGATCTTCTGGTTGCTTATCGATGTATCTTTCATTGTTGTCGCCGAAGATACTTGCGACAAAGTGTTCTTACTTTTTACCAACCTTTTAGATGCCATTCTGATAAACGCACAATCGATGCAAAAAATGTCACCGTAGTAAGAAAACTGATCGTAACTGTAAATAAAATTAGTTCATAGTCCGCTAGTTTCCGCGAAACAATAATGGTCACAAACCTGATTTAATTCACAAACTAGATTTGAAGTTTCTAAGATGTGTAGCTTCGGTAAACACGAAATTTCCTGAATTCACCAAACTGAGTGATACGGTGTGTGGTGGGGCGTTGATGACACACCGTTTTTCATTGGTCGGCAGCTGACCTGTCGCAGCTTGCTGTGTTTATTATAGGCTTTGCTCGGGTGAAGCCTTTGTACCGTACACTGTTTTCCGCATGTTCGTCTTACCTTGGAAGAAACAAAAATGTTTTCCTATGCTTATGGTCCACGTGGTTTCGAATTTCCTTTGGACGGGCTCCCAATTGTAATAAACCTTGGCTTGACTTGATCTGCACTTTGGCTTATTACCTATTGGCTTTCGCCACGGCTCGCTCTCTGGATGTTTACTGCTATAAAACCTGCACTGCTTTAACGTCTAGGGTTGACAACACAAACGCTGCTCAGCTTCTTGGTACATTCTGTCAGTTTATTCTCGTCCATTTACTTCACATGTTCAACACATTATTCACATTTATCACTCGCGACATATTCGAACGCTAACATTTGCGCAATATAAAAACTACATCTTCAATTACTACAACCGTCTACTCTGACTTCTCATGATCGACTGACCACGAGGCTAGCTCGGGCTTCGCCTCGCTTCCTCCACCGGCCACAAGTATCTCGTGCCGTCACTTGTAGCACGGACTTTCTGCTTGCCGCAATGTAATCGTGAAGACCATGCACAGCACCTCATCACAGAGAGAAAGAAAGCGAACAAACTTTATTTCCAAAGGCTTACAAACTGGGCACACAGGTCCATCTGACACTCAGTCCTCTCAAGAACTCATCTTTCATACAGCAGTTGTATATCATATAGCAAGCACAGACCGAGAGAGAGAGAGACAGTGAGAGAGAGAGAGAGAGAGAGAGAGAGAGAGAGAGAGAGACAGTGAGAGAGAGAGAGAGAGAGAGAGAGAGAGAGAGAGAGAGAGAGAGAGAGGCAGAGACACAGACAGACTGACTATTACATAATACACAATGTTCAAGTTTATGGAGAATATTTGTAGATTTTGTAAGAGGTTCAGATGGTAGACTATGCGAGGGGTTCAGATGGTAGACTATGTGAGGGGTTCAGATGGTAGACTATGTGAGGGGTTCAGATGGTAGACTACGTGAGGGGTTCAGATGGTAGACTATGTGAGGGGTTCAGATGGTAGATTACATGAGGGGTTCAGATGGTAGACTATGTGAGGGGTTCAGATGGTAGACTATGTGAGGGGTTCAGATGGTAGACTATGTGAATGGTTCAGATGGTAGACTATGTGAGGGGTTCAGACGGTAGACTATGTGAGGGGTTCAGATGGTAGACTATGTGAGGGGTTCAGATGGTAGACCATGTGAGGGGTTCAGATGGTAGACTATGTGAGGGGTTTAGATGGTAGACTATGTGAGGGGTTCAGATGGTAGACTATGTGAGGGGTTCAGATGGTAGACTATGTGAATGGTTCAGATGGTAGACTATGTGAGGGGTTCAGATGGTAGACTATGTGAGGGGTTCAGATGGTAGACTATGTGAGGGGTTCAGATGGTAGACTATGTGAGGGGGTCAGATGGTAGACTATGTGAGGGGTTCAGATGGTAGACTATGTGAGGGGTTCAGATGGTAGACTATGTGAGGGGGTCAGATGGTAGACTATGTGAGGGTGACCTCTGGTCGGTTAAGTGAGGTGGACATCTAGTGGGTTATGTGAGTTGTGGATTATACAACATGGACAGTGGATAATACCTGTAATAATGCCAAAACACATCAAGACTGGTCACAAGATAGCGTCTCTGCCCTGTGGCAAGGGCAGGGTCTCGATCAGTGTTCTCAAATGCAAACACCATGACATCCTGGGGAGAAACAGGTTACTATGCAACAGAGTTTATGATGTATGTACATGGGTGTAGGTCTGTGAGTGCCTCCGTTCCAGACTATGAGTGTGTGTTTGTGTGAGAGAAAGAGAGAGAGAGAGAAAGACAGAGAGAAAGAGAGAGAAGGAAGAGAGAGAAAGAGAGAGAAAGAGAGAAGGAAGAGAGAGAGAGAGAGAGAGAGAGAGAGAGAGATAGTTACCTAGAGTGTAGCACATATATTTACAACACAAAAGTATCAGTTTAATGTCAGAAATGTTCCTGTAATATGTAAGCTCCAAAGCCATACTTGTCGGCTCTACTGACTGATACTACCCACACTTATTACTCTAGTGGTTCTTCTAAGACATTTCTGTAACATTACAATTGTTCTACTCATTATCTGAAGTAAGGGGAAGCTCGCCTCAGGCCTGAAGGTTGTAGGATCAAATCTACACCAATCCAAATGTTTTCAAAACTGACCCTAGCTCAGGGATGACCCACCCTAAAATGGGTACCAGGTGAAGTCCTGGAAAGTAAAGGCGGCTGGCATGACCATATCACCCCTCAAGTGCTGATTGGTCTTTAAAATATAAGTTTAGCATTATATGCTCAATACATGTGATTGCATGGGAAAAGGTCCTTCACTTTTTACTTGTAGTAAGGTCCATATCTGGTCCATGTGGAATGTTAGTATATATATTTAAAAAAAAAAACTAGACAGTTCCTATGAGAACTGCCTCGAAAGACATAGATTTCTTTCTATGTGACAGAAGTTGGACATAGGTTTCTTTCTATGTGTCAGAAGTTGGACATAGGTTTCTTTCTATGTGACAGAAGTTGGACATAGGTTTCTTTCTATGTGACAGAAGTTGGACATAGGTTTCTTTCTATGTGTCAGAAGTTGGACACTGGTTTCTTTCTATGTGTCAGAAGTTGGACATTGGTATCTTTCTATGTGACAGAAGTTGGACATAGGTTTCTTTCTATGTGTCAGAAGTTGGAGAATGTTACTGTAACGAAACCTCCGCAGTTTTCTTGGCCCAGCTGAAAGCTTCAGTCTGCCTGAAGAAGACCCTCCAACAGTTCGTAGGTCCCAGAATTCTAGACAAGAAATTTAAAACAAAACAAATCAAAAATCCCTTAAACAAAATTTAACATGTCTTAAAAATTCTACAGTTAAATTGAAAATGTTTTCAGTTTATCTTTTAATGAAAATCTCTAGAGTGCTATTACAGATTGAGGCATATACATTTGTACAGTCTCTCCTCTTCTACAGGATGTCAATCACTATTATCATGTGCCCTGCCCAGCGCTCATGTCTCTCCACAGATCTCTGTCTTCTCTTTGTTGATTTAATTCCACCATACCATTGCTTCAGGCCATCGTCTACTTTTTCCTCTTTAACCATAGATCTTTCCAGTTATCACAGTGCTTTCTAATGCATCTCTTCTCATCACATGACAGAAGAAAACTGACTGCCTCTTTCTTATAAATGTATCTAGTTTTCTAATTTCATTAGCCCCTTCCAGGCAGTCGTTGTTAGTCACTCTGTCTGTCCATGGCATTTCTACGAAATCCATATCTCCCCAGCTTCTAAGTTCTAAATTTGCTTTCACATTCCAAAATTCACAACTATACAACAGCACTGGTTCAACACTTTTCCCATGTTATTCTATTTCTTTGTGTCTCTCCCATCTCCTCGCTGCTTCCTCTTTTTTGTTTTTTTATCTTGGAGCTTTCTCTTCTTAACCAAGGAAAATTAATTGGGAGTTTCCACCCTTATAAGATAATATGAACTTTGAATCATTACCATTTTTTTCTTCTTATGTTCAGTGAGAGAGACTTGTATGTTTGGGTGCATCATATAAACATCTGGACATAAGAATCAGTGAGACAGAACTCAACCTGCAGCTGAAAGCACACAGTCGGTGCTCTTTCATGTCGAGGGTAGATGGACTGATGCATTTAAAGATGTTTGTTGATACTAGAAGTTGATGTGGCTTGGGATATTTGTTCTCTACCAAAAAAACGTTTACATAGCACAAGTGAAATGTGTGGTATAAACTTGTGGAGTGGAAACAGTGTATATGAACCAGTAAAACATGTTGTACCTGTGAGAAAATGCTGTCGGAAGTCTGACCGCATTCTGTCCCAACTTCTTAGCAAGTGCATTCTGTCCTTTTTTATTTCTCCTGTTTGTGAATAAAAGCATAAAATTAATTAATTCATTAGTACAATCAATCCAAAGACTGTTGGTTAAGAACCTGATCATGTCTCCCTACTGTTCCCCATTTCTTGGCAGTTCTCTGTGGCCCAGCTTTAGTCTAGAGCTACGGTATCCTTGTGTCATGTAGTTCTCCAATGTTCCCTATTTCTCAGCAACTCTCCCAGGTCGACCCAGCCTTGAGTGGGTACTGGGTGCAGTCCTGGGAAGTAAGGGCAACCGGTGTGATGCTGACCACATCACCCATCTTGTGCCGATTGGTCTATAAAAATATAGGTCTAGCCCTATATGCCCTATACGCCTAAAGGCATGGAAAAGGGTCCTTTACTTTTACTTTTTTCTCAGCAACTGTTTTTGAGTCAGCGCCCCAATATTCATGTGTGGTGTAGTTCTCCAATTGTTCCCTATTTCTCAGCAAATGTCTTTAAGTCAACAAACTAATATCCAAGTGGGAAGTAGTACTTCAATTGTTCCCCATTTTCCCCTTAAAAGCTATATAAATCCTAAACTGATATATGGATGTGAATCATCGACAGTTGGTAAATTAGTTAAAACTTATTTTGAAGCTGCGGAGATGTGGTTTTATAGAAGAATGATGAGAATACCCTGGAGAGATAAAAAGAGTAATGAAGATTTCTTGAAAGAAACTGACACAAAAAGAACGGATAACCCACATCAGAATTAGACAATCTACATTCATTAGTCATGTGAGGAGAAGGAGATAAACTGGAGTACATCATGTCAGGAGGACAGTTGGTGGGGAGAAAAGGCAGAGGAAGACCGAGAAAACAGATGCTGGACAGTCTGACATCATGGCATGGATGATCATCTGTATCCGAGTTGATTATAAGTACACGAGGCAAAAGTTTGTGGATAGTCATGACTACCAACTCCACAAAGCATGGACTTAAAGAAGAAGTTTTTGAGTCAGCGCCCCAATATCCTTGTGTGCAGTTCTTCAATCGTTCTCTTTTCTCAGCAACTGTCTGAGTCAGCGCCCCAATATCCTTGTGTGTAGTTCTTCAATCGTTCTCTTTTCTCGGCAACTGTCTGAGTCAGCGCCCCAATATCCTTGTGTGTAGTTCTTCAATTGTTCTCTTTTCTCGGCAACTGTCTGAGTCAGCGCCCCAATATCCTTGTTTGTAGTTCTTCAATTGTTCTCTTTTCTCAGCAACTGTCTGAGTCAGCGCCCCAATATCCTTGTGTGTAGTTCTTCAATTGTTCTCTTTTCTCAGCAACTGTCTGAGTCAGCGCCCCAATATCCTTGTGTGTAGTTCTTCAATTGTTATCTTTTCTCAGCAACTGTCTGAGTCAGTGCCCCAATATCCTTGTGTGTAGTTCTTCAATTGTTATCTTTTCTCAGCAACTGCCTGAGTCAGCGCCCTAATATCCTTGTGTGTAGTTCTTCAATTGTTCTCTTTTCTCAGCAACTGTCTTTGGCTCAGCTTTAGCCCCTGTCTCAATATTTGTGTAACCCTTTGCAAATAAAGTTTGTTCATTCGTTCATAAAGGGTAAGGTAATTTTTGCCTTCTTTTTCTTGTCCTGTATCTAACCCTGCAGTTTTTTAAGTAATGGCTTCCAAGTAAAATATTATGAACGAGCCAAGCATTTGTTTTATGTGTGTGGTGATGCACTTCTTCTTTGTTTCAATTTGTATACACAGATCAGACCATCAGGTGGGTTGCCTCTATGAAATTGCGTGTCAGCAGCAGGTCCTTCGTGGTTCCCCAAAGCTTGCTCTGCACACTTTGCTTCTGAGGCCAAGTTTCTCTTTGTAGTTGTAAATAAAGTAGGTGGGCCTGCAGAATGTGCTCAGGTGTTTGTGGTCCAGTCTGACAGGGACACCATAGCGACTGTACAGTCTATATTTTATGCATGTGTTAGTAGAGCCTGCAGTGTCCTGTTCTTAGATAGAAAATTGCTGTATGCTGCTTCCTGATGGGGTCTTGTGGATATTTACAGTTGTTTTGTTCTCTTTACAATTCCTTTCTTTTTTTCTCTTGACAGGTAAATTGATTTATGATAATGCTAATAAATTGGGTGTGTTGTTTCTCCTGTGTTGCATTTGGGGATGTACAATAACTGCCTAATTTCTCCAGTGCCTTTAAGAATGTGTTAAATTCAACGTCTTCCTGCTCAGCTTAAACTGTGCATTCTGTAAAAATTCCACATTTCAAAAGCTTCAGAGGTTTTACGTTTAAAACTCCCTTTCTTTTCTGTTGAGAGTGCATGTTCTAGAGAGGCATCTTCTTCACCTAGATTTATGCAGACAAAGATATGGTCATCCCCTTACGTTTGTCGATGTGAAATAGGCAGGCAGTTACTTCTGAATGTAGTCAATTTTGTGTTTCTGTTTCTGTTTAAAGAACAGATCAACACGATGGAACAAGGGTCATAAGCCGTTCAACTTCTAACTCAAGCCTCAGTCCGAAGAATCTCAGCGCAGTGCACTAACTCTGTAGCACCAGCGAGGTGTTTCAGTTGGAAGGATTTATTTATTTCATTTTGTTTTAATTAATTGTTACAGTAGTATGCACCTAACAAGATAGAGCAAAATATGCTAGGCAATAATTGTGCAATCTGTTGTTTGTATTTGTGTTCAAATTTACAGCAGGGAAACATTCCTTCGAAATGTCAGCTATCCTCCGAATACTGGCCACATATTATGGCGGCCAAAAACACACCCTGACAGGGCTTCATTAGGTCATGTGTTGTAAACATTCAAAAACTTGAACTCAAAAATAATGAGGAACGAAAAAAAGGGAAAATGACGACATTGACTATCTAGCGATAATTGAGGCCTTTATATCTAAAAATAGTGGCACAGAAGTTGCAAATAGTGCCCGAAAATCTGCTCTTTGTGGCTGCAGCGCCATTGAAACTCGGCTAAATATGATCGGTGTCGCATTAGTAACGCAGTTTTCACCGCCGAGAATATCTCCCGTGCCGCAGATAGGGGGGCTAAACTAGATGGTTGGGACTCACGAGCAAAAAAATTAGAGAAAGTTGCAGGAGATGTGGTAGCTGCTGCTCGTGAGTCCCACCCGTCTAGTTAGAGCCCCCCCCCCACCCCCCCCCCCCCCCCCCCCCCCCCCCCCCCCCCCCCCCCCCCCCCCCCCCCCCCCCCCCCAACCGCGCAGCGTGTGTTTTGTTGTGTTTCTCGAAATTGTCAACGGACAGTAATCCTAGTATTGCGCCATGTGTTCGTCTGAGGAAGTCAGCAATTTGCATGTGATTGAGGCCCTGTCAGGGTGTATTTTTGGTCACCATAAAATGTGGCGCAGGATAATCATAGACAAGATATCAAATACTAATACTATGGATGGCTAGCCTAAGTTAAGTTCAGAGAGGCGCTTTTAATCCTCCTACAAAATCATCACACACCCCCCCCCCCCAACCTCTTTTTTCCTCCATTAAATATAAATGGTGACTGTGCCCCAGGTTCTGACACTTATAACGTATTTATTATACTAAATTATTCATATGACGATACCTGCTCTTTCCGTAAAACTGAGAGGGAGTGAACGAGGGCGGACAACAATCCATCGCTGTGGTCTGATGAACTTTCCCCTTCTTAACACAAAAATAGATCTTTCCGCATAATAAAACTTCCGTTAGACGGTCTCGTTGTACCAAAAGTTAGCAACAAACACAGAGAATATATCGTGGCTCAACTCGTCATGTTTTAGATTTGTTTTGAAATTTGTCCTCGCTCGGCCGCCTTACGGTCAAATTTGCCTCTCTTTTGTTTACATCCGGTTCTAGGTCATGACCCCTACGGGTCATAAACTATAGGCCGTGAACTTGTCAGGGTTGCCATATTGGCTTTTTTTTAAACGCCAGATTCCACAAATTTTGCGTATTTGAAATTGAGCTGGCCTAAGACAATGAGCTGGCGTTTTTGGCAAGTTTGGATTTCTCCTGGCTTTTTTTAAACAAAATATGCTCACATTTCTTGTTTATTGTTCCTCTGAGAAACGTCGGCTCTGTGGCTGTCGATGCAAATGTTTCATAATGCCGGGGTGCCGGGTTCGATCCCAGCTGCGGGTCATGCGCCTTGCGTTGATTTCGACCAGGGGCTGCTGGGGTTGGTTCTGCAACGTCCTGTAAAGGATACGACCCTATAGGCCAACCCCTCCCTCCCTCCTTAGACACTCAGTGTACGCTGTTGGCGTCTAATCCACCCCCTTTTTTGGCCCCCACCCGCGCGTTGGAGATATATAGGCTGACCGTCATTTTAATGTACGAAGTTTTTTTCGCCAGGGACACAGATGAGTATCATTTATTTTATACATTAGAGTCCTATGTAGTCACTTCATAGTTAGAGCATATTTGTTTATGTGTACTGTGTTGTCCTTTATGTGCTGATGAAGGCTAATCGCCGCAACGTCCTTAGTTTGTTTATTGTGATCGATTTTGTAAAGCTAACTTTAACTATTTGATGTTTTTTACCAACTTTTTCTCTTCCCCATAATTTTCTACTCCTTTTAAAAACTGTAAAGGATACGCAACTAATCTGTGAGAAATGTGCGTCGTTGTTGTCTCAGTGTGCTCTGGTTGTTTCCTAGGGGATTGTACTATGGCTGACACCTCTGATGAACTGACGCACATATATGTTATTGAGTAGACACAGTCGCAGTTTAAATCTGTATCACTCACAGACGACAATCTGGTCCAGTCACCGTCAGCTACTCTCTAGTATCTCCAAATATTCATCAAGTGGGGTTCCAACATTAAGCTACCAGTGCCAAACATGGACACTATCTAAAGCCATATACGCAATTGTCACCATTTATAAGACAAACAAGCCTGGTAGTCTGGTAGTCTGGTAGTCTTAGTTTCAGCTTCATAGCAAACGGGTTGCCCCATCTTTGCTCCGCTCCTGTGCCAGCGAAAAACACTCAGAATGTTTATCACAGTCCCTTGTGGAAAGATTGACAGACTGCTGTCTCAGCATATCTAGCATACACTCGCATTAAAGCATATGGTAGCCATCCGAAGTGCTAACACAAACAGTCCAACATTAGAAATGCAGTTCATCATTGATGATAGCAGAACTTGTCGCCAACAGATCAGCAGTTTCCCACGCGATCAATTGTAATCACACACGGGCACCGCCAACATTGACGACCGGCATCGCGCCATTTTCTGAATCTACAATTCACACCACGTTGGTCACAGTCGAAAAAACATTCCAAATGCAATCCGCAGCTCACAGGGTCACGCCATGCATTCAACTCAGAAGCTGGGCGACGAAACTATATCCAGTCTACAAATGGAGCAAAAATACTTCGGCCACCGTCCGGCAGAAGCAAAAAATTTGCCTCCGCTCCGACACAGCGCCGCTGTCTAGCGTCCATTTTAACCGGAACCAGACAAACAAGCATAACTATGAGTGCAAAGAGATATATTATTAATAGCATATTCATTCCAACGGTACCAGTGCCAAACATGGACACTATCTAAAGCCCATATAAGGAAAATCATCACCTGCGAGATAAGGCGCCTGAGAAAAGCAGACAACCTAACCATACGAGATCGAGTGAATAATGAAACTATCAGGCAAATTGTGGGAACGCCACCATGTACTAGATTAATCGAGAAATAGCAGATTAGGTGGTTTGGCCATCTTGTTAGAATGCCGCAAGATCAAATACCATCACAAGCACTACATCTCAGAAGGTCAGCTACAAGAGCAAGAGGACGGCGGCGGAAAAATGGATCGACAACATTAAAGACACTCTACACCTTCACGGCATGACAATAGCCAGTGGCAGCCAACGTGCACTGGATCACAAATTATTCCTCCCCACGTCACTTAACTGTAGAAGTGGTTTATGATGAAAATGATGATGACGAACAAAGACAAATGATGATGACGAACAAAGACAAATGATGATGACGAACAAAGACAAATGATGATGACGAACAAAGACAAAGTTCCTCACCGCTGTTGACCACCATTCCCGTTGGCTACCTCTGCAATCTTCACGTCTCAATCGCGCCACATGTACTGTTCTCAAACAAACAAAGACATGATATGCATAATTCCACATAGATGACAGCTACTATATGTATTTAAAATAAAAACAGATGTACAGTTGGAATAAAAGCACAAGGCCAGTGAAATAAACATAATTACATTGCTCAAGTCGTAATGTTTGTTCGTGTTAAGACTGAAACATTAATTCCGTCTCATAAAATGTTGGTACAAGTTTGAAGTCAGCTGTTCATTACGACTGCAAGAGTGTTGCGTTTCCTTTTGTCGAATATTGAATCAAGAATCGACATCACAGCACCAGAGACACTCATATCAGCGCTCAGTACCCATCTTCGGTAGAAAGCGAAGAGTTCCAATTCCGATTGTACCAGTAAACGTCTGACTGCACATCCATCTCATCCTTCCCCTGAGTGTTGAGCATCGGCCAGATCCCTGGTAAATCCTTGCAGCGCCATTCTCCACTGACCGCAATTATCTATCTACGCCCCCGCACTGTTCGCCCGTTCCCAAAAGGCGCTCACAATATCTAACTTGTCATGCATAAATTCACCACCAAGTGGTGCAGAGCCAGCCAGTCTATCTGCCTGCTAAGTTCCCAACACACCGGCATAACCTGGAGAAAATGTCCAAAGGATGCTAACTACCCAGGACCTCTGAGGTGATGCTTGCCACTCTGCACGAAGCATGCATGTTTTCACCCTTCTCAACATGCTCTGTGAGTCAGTTACAATCATGGCATATGTGTACAGCTGATTCTCAAGCCAGCGGAAGGCAGCAGTGACTGTCTCCACTTCCATTCTCAAACTGGACGTTGTGATATCATATGCAAGGCTTTGCTGCACCAGGCAACGGCCATTGCTATGAAACCCCTCTGCCCCTCAGCACTGAGCCATCTGTATTGATAATGACATCACTTGGACGGGAATTGTCATCAACCATTTGTTGAACTTCGTATTCTGCAGCACCAGCTGGCCAGTCCCTACACTCACGTGGTAACGTGATTAGAACCATACATAAGTCTGAAACTTGTTCAGACAGTATGTAAACACTCATTAAATGCTAAAGTAGCAGGACCCTTTTCAACGCCTTACAGCGTATTAGGCATATAGCGCTAGATCCAAACTGTATAGACCAAAATGCACTCGGTGGGTTATGTGGTCAAAATCACGCCGGCCACTTGTACTTCCTAAAACTTTACCTGGTACTTATTTAAGTTCGGTCGACTTGGCAAACAACGTTATTTCTGAGAAAGAAAGAAAAATGTTCGGCTCCGTTCGGATTTGGACCCACAGTTTTCGATTCCGCTAGCGAGTCTCGTTGCTACATCACAGCGGCTCCCTCATTAACTGCTGTCTGTGCTCAAAAATTGAAATTAAACGGTATGCCTGAATCAATTATGTCAAGCTTCGGGATGGAACTATTTTTAAAAAAACCTTCACTGAAACAAAAGGCGAGTTAAAGACGCTATCGTTGGACTGGGCACACAGTTTGGACGCCACACAACAATATAACTAGAAATTCTCTACACTGAATTCACGCAAAATCGCGCGCGTGCTCGTGCGGAAACAGAGAATAGGGGAATGAAGTAACAAAATCAATTGGAGAACACTGGGTGAGCTGCATGGCGAGTGTAAAAATTACACCAGTGTGGGTAGAATTGGTTGAGGGGCTAAGCTTTTTTTTTGGGATAAATGACAGAAATAAAAAAAAAGGGGGGGGGGGGATGGTGTTTTGGGGGAGAAGATAGAAATGGGTGCTGCTACTGTTACCTCAAACAAGGCCAACTAACATTTCAACAAGTGTTGTAAATAATAAATCTCACGGTTACAGCATTTCTACTCACCACGGGTGGTCAGAGATATGTGGGGTGTCACAAGCAGACATATGGATATAAGCTGGTGATTTTAGCGCCATCTACTATACACACGGGCCACTGCACTCACAGACAGGCTAACAATCAGATCTCGCTTATTTCTGAAACTATCAGACATGGTTTCTAGTTACTCATTTCGCAAAAGCGCCTATCAGTGTCTATGATAGGCAGGCATGGAGACGAGTTTATTTCGTTGCCTTATCCTGATGACATACATTGCAGCTGATGGTATGTTTAAAGTTATTGGTTTCAGTTAGCCTTCCGTAGTTATGAGCATAGCTAGAGATCCACAGGCAGTTGTGCAATGGCAGGACTGGCCGGCTGCTCTGCAGTCTCGGCAGTCATAGGTTTAGATTCCAAACTGCACCGATAAAGATGTTTAAAAGACAGTTGGCTCATTGTGTTGTTGTTTACAGCAAGGCTGCGATATCTGCACCCTTCCGCCTAACACATCTTATTTCAGTACATTTTTATTTAGTCGTTTTTTTCATATTTTTTTTAAAGAGTGGCGTGTTTATCCCCGCGCAACCTCCCCCTTCCCTAACCTCCTCCAGCGGTGGGTTATTTAGAACCAGGCCGCCGTATGTTGATGTCAACACTGGTACCGAGAGCCGACTGTTAAGTAGACAATAGCCCGGCTCTCTAGCGAAGTTGGTTAAACCTGACTTTCGC